TGGTCCCTGGTGTCTTCTTTAGTTTTTTGGTGACGCCATGTTATGTCATGTTTTCCTGGATGGTGTTGATTCTAATAGATGTCCTTTAGTGTCTGAGCATAGAAGAGTTAAGTATTTACTGTTGTCTTCACCATCTGGGCTTATTTGTACCTGTCCTTTTTGGGAAGGCTTTCCAGACATTCAAAAGGACTTGAGTGTTGTAATCTAAGCTGTATCTGCTTTAGGGGCACCCCAAGACCAGTAATGCTGTGGTTCTTAGGGACTCATAGAGGTTCTACCTTGATGGTCTTGGATAAAATCTGGGAGAATTCCCTGGATTACCAGGCAAAGAATCTTGTTCTTTTCCCTCACTTTCTCCCAAACTAGGGGATTCTCCCTCTGTTCTGAGCCACCTAAACCTGGGGGTGGAGTGGCACAAGCGTGCCTGTGGTCACCACCACTATGACTGTGCTGGGTCATACCTGAAGCCAGCACAGCACTGGGTCTCACCCAAGGCCTGCTGTAACCACTCCCTGATTACTGCCTATGTTCACTTAATGCCCTGGGGCTCTACAATCAGCAGATGGCAAAGCCAGCCAGGTGCCAAGTTCCTCTAGACCCTGGGTGATTCCAGAGGTGCTGTATGGGAGTCAGGGACTAGGGTGGTAAACCTTAGAACTCTAGCTGGTATTCTGTTGTACTGTGGCTGAGCTGGCATTCAAACCACAAGACTCAGTCCTCCCCACTCTTCCCTCCCCTTTCCAAAGGCAGAGGAGCCTCACCCTGTAGCCACCACCATCACAGGCCACAGGGAGTACTGCCAGACTACTGCTGATGTTCCTTTAAGGTCCAAGTACTCATAAGTCAGCTTGTGGTGAATGCTGCCTGGCCTGGGACTCACCCTTCAGGGCAGTGGGCTCCCTTCTGGCCCAGGACAGGTCCAGAGATGCCATTCAAGAGTCGAGTCCTGGAGTCAGGGACCTCAGGAGCCTACGTGGTGCTCTATTCCCCTGTGCCCATGCTGGTACCTAAGGTGGTAGATAAAGTCCCCTTTACTTTTCCCTCCACTTTTCTCAAGTAGAAGGAGTTTCAGCCAATAGCCACCACAGCTAGTAATGAATCTCACCTGAAGCCAGCAAGTCTCAGAGGGTCACCAAAAGCCCTCAACATAGTAACTTGGTTTCACTGCTGGTTATTCAGAGCCTGAGGGCTTTTCACTTAGCAGGTAAAGAATGACGCTAGGACTGGGTTCTTCCTTTCAAGGCAGTGGGTTCCCTTCTGGCCCAGAGGTTGTCTAGAAATGTCATCCAAGAGCTAGGGCCTGAAACAGGGGTCTTGCAACTCTGACTGGTGTCCTATCTGCTGTGGCTGACCTGGTATCCAAGATGCAAAACAAGTCCTTCTCTCTCTTCCCTCCCCTCTCCTTAAGCAGAGGGAAGGTGTCTCTTTTGGAGCTGTGAGCTGTGCAGCCTCGGGTTAGGGGAGGGGTGATGCCAGTACTCCCTTAGCCACCCCCGCTGGTGTCTTAGTAGGTCACATACCCCTCCCAGTCCACTGTCTCTGGGCCTGGTTCAATGCTAGGACTTACCTAAGATTTGCCATCCTTATGGCCTAGACTGCCTTTCAAGTTTACTTAGAAACACATAGCACTGTAGCCGTTGGTGATGACGTTTGCAGGAACTCAAGTTTCGACAATTGGGATTGGCAATTTCCCTCTGGTTAGGGCTGATTTAAATGCTCCCTCCATGGGTAGGCGCCAGCAGAGTTTGGCCCAGTTTCCTTTCTGCTCTAACGGGATGGCACTGAGTTCAGTGCCTCACAATTGCTGTGTTCTCCCTCCCGCAGCACCCAGAGACGCTCTCTGCATCATGCTGCTGCTGCCGAGGGTCGCATTAGAGATTCAAAACTGTTTTACTCACCTCTCCAGCATGCCTTTCAGTGATACAAACTTAACAGCAGGTCCTATGAGGACTCACCTGATTTTTGTTTTTTGTAAAGGTGTTTTTTTTGTGTGTTGGTTGTTAAATTGGTGTCCTTGGGTGGGGAGGGGAAACTGGTATTCTATTCCACCATCTCGCTATACCTTCTATCTTTTGTTTATACTCAAAGAATACATTGTTATAACTTTTATAAAATCAGTGGTCATTTATATTTTCCACGTATTTACCTCTTCTCTTCTCTTTGATCCTTCTTGTGTTTCAGACTTTCCATCTGCGATCACTTTTTTTAATGCCTGAAATTTATTCTTTAGAATTCTTTCTTCCTTCTGCCTTTCAGTCTGTACTCCTTTTTTTTTTTTTTTTTTTTTTTTTTTTTTTTTTTTTTTTTTTTTTTAGTGATTGATTTGGTTTGATTTGATCGCTGTAAGCAAGTGGGAGCATGCTATTAAAGGATGTTTCTTGCCCTTGTTCACAAAGCCTTATTATGAGAGGTTTACATATACCCATTTAAAATGTAAATCTAAGCATGCTTCTTTTAAGATGCACTATATGCTGTATTCTCTTGGTGAGTAAAACAAAATGAGAATGGCAAGAGGAAGGCTAGAGAGCTAAGAGTGGGCCATCCCATGTAGGGCTTGACAGCTATAATAAATAAAAAAAATCTAGACTTTATCCTAAGAACAACAGAGTCATTGAAGAGTTTCAAGCATAAAAGTGTCATTACTACATTTATGTTTTAGAAATATTACTTTGGCTGCTATATGCAGAATAGTGTAGATAATGGCCAATGGTGAATACTAGAAGAGCAGATAGTAGACTGTTGAAGGAATACAGGCAGTTAATGAAATAGGGAGAATGAGTGAATTTAATGATACTTGGTGGGTGAATCCTTAGAGCCTCATGACTGACGGTGACTTGTTTTTGGGAGTAAAAGACAGGCTAGAGTTAAGGACAAAGCCTAGGCTTCTGGCTAGGAAAACTAGGTGGGAGATGTTATCACTCACTAATATGGGGAACAAAGAAGAGAAGCAGATTTGGAAGATAGAATGATAAGTTTCATTTTGTGCATGTTTAATGTGAGATACTTTTGAAACTTGTGACAATCAAGAGAATGTCTCACCATGGATGGTGGCTCACGCCTATAATCCCAGCACTTTGGGAGTCTGAGGCAGGTAGATCATCTGAGGTCAGGAGCTCAAGACCAGCCTTGCCAACATGGTGAAACCCCATTTCTAGTAAAAATACAAAAATTAGCCAGGCGTGGTGGTGTGCACCTGTAATCCCAGCTACTCGGGAGGCCAAGGCTGGAGAATTGCTTTAACTAGGGAGGTGGAGGTTACAGTGAGCCAAGATCAGGCCTCTGCACTCCAGCCTGGTGATAGAGTGAGGCTCCATCTTAAAAAAAAAAAAAAAAAAAAAAAAGAGCTCCATCCTTAAAAAAAAAAAAAAAAAAAAAAAAGGCTGGGCGAGGTGGCTCACACCTGTAATCCCAGCACTTTGGGGGCCAAGGCGGGCAGATCTACAAAGGTCAGAGTTCGAGACCAGCCTGACCAACATGCTGAAACCCTGTCTCTACTAAAAATACAAAAATTAGCCAGGCGTGGTGGTGTGTGCTTGTAATCTCAGCTACTCAGGAGGCCGAGGCAGGAGAATCACTTGAACCCAGGAGGTGGAGGTTGTAGTGAGCCAAGATTGCGCCGCTGCACTCCAGCCTGGGCAACAAGAGCAAAACTCTGTCTCAGAAAAAAAACAAAAACAAAAAACAGCAAGAGAGAGAATGTCTCCTCTGCTACTTCTTTGTCTCAGGAAAATGCAAAAGCTGTAGGCTTTTCTATAGACTACCACTGAAATGACTAATTTTTTTAAAGGGAGAGGGGAGATGATACATAAAACTTCAAGAAGAGAAACCAGTTCTTCTCTATCCCTTTCTCTGACTTCTCTACATTTGGCTACCTATTAGATGTGGTCTTATTTTCTGCCTTACAAAGTGTGGTTATATGTAGATAATTAAATTTAGCTTATAGACAATTCAATTTAGCTTCTTTTTTTGACCAAACAAATATGGTGGGGTTGGCAACCTCTTAGATGACCTCCAATGATCTCTATCCACTACAGATTTACACCCTTGTCTATAATCTCCCTTTTTTTTATTTGAATGTGAGCTGAACATTTCAAGTCACTTTTTTTTAATTTTTTTTTTTTTTTAGTTATACTTTATGTTCTAGCGTACATGTGCACAATGTGCAGGTTTGTTACATATGTATACATGTGCCATATTCTCACTTTTTAAAAACAGTATATGGCAGAAATGATATGGTGGCACATCTGAGGTTATAAAAAAAAAAACTGTGACGTGGCTCACGCCTGTAATCCCACCACTTTGGGAGGCTGAAGCGGGTGGATCACCAGAGGTCAGGAGTTCAAGACCAGCCTGGCCAACATGGTGAAACACCATCTCTACTAAAAATACAAAAAAAAATTAGTTAGGCATGGTGGCACACACCTGTGGTCTCAGCTACTCAGGAGGCTAAAACAGGAGAATCGCTTGAACTTGGGAGGTGGAGGTTGCAGTGAGCCAAGATTGCACCATTGCACTCCAGCCTGTGACAAAGCCAGACGCTGTCTCAAAACAACAACAACAACAACAAACTGTGGCTTCTGTTTTGGGTGCCGAATCTCATGCTCTTTCTTGGATGTCTTTAAATGCGGGGAAGCCAGCTTCCATGTCATAAGGAAGCCCTGTGGAAAGGCACAAGTGGCAAAGATCTGAGGCTTGACAACAGCCAGGTGAGAGAGCTTGAGAGTAGATCCTCTTTCAGTTGAGCCTTAAGGTTACTGCAGCCCAGGCTGACATGTTGACTGCAGTTACATGAGAGACTGTGAACCAGAATCACCCAGCCAAGCTGCTCCTAGATTCCTGACCCACAAAAACCAGGAGATAATAAATGTTTGTTGTCCTCAGCCACTAAATTTTGGAGTAATATTTTATGCAGCAGTAGATAATTAATATACACCTGGCTTGGTGCATTAATCAGGGTAATCAGGCTGGGTCATGGAAGGAGTGTTTGATATATAGGAATATTGTGATTCAGATAATAAACTGTTTTATTTATTGAAGAGTAAAATAGTACATTAACAAAATCTTATCTGATAGAGAGATAATACCAGAAGTCTTCTTACTGTGATTATCAGCTAAGTTACTGGTTGAAGTTAGGATATAAATCACTGGATAGTTTTTGTCTGGAAAGATTTAGAACACATCAATAAGGCCCTCTAATAAAGAAACTGAAATGAGATCTTGCCCTTTAGAGAAAGAGAACTGTGTAATTCCTGTAGCCAGGGCTCTCAGTCAAAGAGAAACAGAAGGTTGTGACAATGGTCCAGTGAGCTTGGCCCCAGAATTCCCTTCAACTTGTCTCTTGCTTGACGTTGGGGAGAAGACTGGGCATGATTTAGAGGCTGGAGACTAATTCGACAATGGGAAGATGCAAAAATTCATGTCCTGGGTTCACCTTTGATGTTGGGCCATTAGATCCAGTTTTTCTTTGCCTCTCATGTCTCAAAAATGCTCAGATATTAGTTTCACCACTTTGAGAGACATGGTTGCTGCCATCAGTGGGTGAAAGATTGTCTTGCTGCCTGAGGTGGGATGTGCATGGCCAACACCCACTTCTCTGGTTGTATAAGACAAGGACCTAAAAAGGGAAAGGCTGGGAGGAGGATCATCCAGCAGGTGATCATTTAGGACTTCATGCTATAAATGGTTTTGCATTTCCAGAGATGAAACAAGTCTCTTCACCACAGGACAATTGCAGATCATAACCCTATGCTCTGACTGGTTTTATCAATCTGGCAGTTCAGGGTCAGTGCAAAGGACATCCCCAACACCTGTGAAAAGAGTTGGGAAAATTTGAAGTCTTCATAAGAAAAGCCATTTCTTTCACAATTCCTGGGATTGGCCTCTGAGAAAAAGAATGTATCCATTACACTGAAACCACCCTTCCCACCATTACTTTCAAGTCTCTCTCAGGAGCTCTTTCCTTTAGTTAAAGAATAGCAGTGGGGAGAGAAACGGGGTCAATGATGACAAGATAACAGGCTGTAAAGTACTGGAGCATGTTTTATCTTCTGAGGAAGTCACAGAAGCCCTACTACTAGGATGGTCATATTCTGCTCACTGAACACTGTGCAATGACTTATTTCTATCCATGCTCTGTGCCTCCTTTGTTTCCAAGCAGAGAAAAGTCATTTTCTCTGAGCTTCCTGGTTGAGTTTTAACTAATCTATGATATAGCCAACACTTGGGTGGAAAAATGTTAGAAATATCACATTATTTTTGTCCTTTTTTATTAAAAAGGACAAAAAACTACCCTCAATTCACCCATCACTTGTCAAACTAAGCACAGAAACAAAGAGGAAATTGATTACAATTTTCATCATCAGCCCCTTAACATGCAAGATCAGGTTTTCAAATGAAATACTTTATCAATTCATCTTTTTGAGACCAGCTGAGGAAGGATCAAAGTGGGAGTCTGCTTGTTGGCTTTCTGTTTGACTGCGAATCAGGTGAATCACCCATATCTCTGAGGAATAAATTGACCAGAGAGATGTTCTTTTTTTTTTTTTTTAAGGAGACGGAGTCTCGCTCTGTCGCCCAGGCCGGAGTGCAGTGGCGCGATCTCGGCTCACTGCAAGCTCCGCCTCTGGGGTTCAGGTCATTCTCCTGCTTCAGCCTCTGGAGTAGCTGGGACTACAGGCGCCCGCCACTATGCCCGGCTAATTTTTTGTATTCTTAGTAGAGACGGGGTTTCACCGTGTTAGCCAGGATGGTCTCGATCTCCTGACCTCGTGATCTGCCCGCCTCGGCCTCCCAAAGTGCTGGGATTACAGGCGTGAGCCACCATACCCTGCCGAGAGATGTTCTTACAGCACATTTTCTATATACCTTAAAGTAAATTGTTAATTACATTATTTGCTACTTGGCTGGGGGAATTCAGATACTAGTAAAAATAGCTAACATTTATTGTGTAAATACTGTGTACCTGGTACTATTCTGAAACCTTACCTGACTTAACTCATGTAATCCTCACAGTAACCCTGTGATTAAGTGCTTACCTCAATCACACATACACAGATGGTGATGATTCCGATATACAGGAAATTGGAATGAAACCACAGTCTTGCTTTCGCATAGCAACCCTAGAAAACATTTCAGTTACAAATGATGCCACTCTAAACATTTCAGTTACAAATTGCACCATATCAAGAGGATTATTTGGAAGATACAGTGCTTTGCATTTTGCTTTATGTAATACAAAGAGACTGAGGTATTATATTTTTATTTTCTTTGCATGAATGAAGAAACAGGCATAAGGTGGGAAATATTAAACTAGAGATTTTTCTGGTGTTGTTATCATTACAGTGGTACCTAATGTAGAAGTCCTAGATCCTTACCCACTGAGTTAAACTAGCTTCTAAGAGGCAGGTCAGCCACCAACATCCTACTGTCTTTGAACACTCAGTGCTGATCAGAGATTAACATACGGCATGCAATACTAAAATTGGTTTGCATTTCACTTTCTGCTTCAAGATTCAGTAAATCCATCATAGCCCTACCAAGCACCAGGGCAGCTCTGGTCAGTGCGTGTCCTAGTCTTTCTCCACAAACCTGAAAAATCCTGGAGATTTCCAAACCCCTTCAGGAGCAGATAACAGGAGGACACAAGACCTCAGGGATTTGGTCTAGTTGGAAGATAGTTATGCTTCTTCTCAGAGCCTATTCTGGAGATCCAAATTAATTGGACAGGTTGTTTCAATAGTTCCACTAACTCTGTCTCCCTCAACTCCTTACTCCTTCACTTATGATTCATTTCCCTAAGGGGCCGGATTCTGCCATCTCCAAGGAAGAAGAGCAGAGAAAGAGGGAGAGGGGAAAACTTTTCTATCTTGACCCTATTCATTTCACTTTTAACCATAAGGAGACCTACTTCTTGCTTAAGAAATATCTAGACACAACCCTCTGCTACTTTCACACAAACTGTTCCTCTCTAATGTAATAGTCTAGTGTAGCAAGATCAATCATAGTCTCTAGTCTAAATGATTTTGTTCCTATGTTTTTCTGACTTTTCTAATTACCCAAGGTTGTTGCCTTGGCCTCTCTTTTATTCAAGGTCCCCTGTTTCTCGATAAAAGGTCTAGGTCTTCTATGACTGCAGTTTCCAAGGTAATTAAACATTTAAACAAAGAGGTCAATAACAGAAACATTGCTAACAAAATTACCTCCACATTTGGATCTGAGGGGCAAGATGCTGGTGGGCCACTGGTCCAATCACTCGTACCATTTATACCACAGCACCGGAGCTAAAAGCCAAACCCCCAAAATGATGATGGTTAGAAAGTCGACAGTGAAAAAAAGCTGTGGACCTTAGAGGAAAAGGTGGGCCCTTCAGAACTGACTCTATAGCAGAAGTCCAGAATTGGTCTGATTACTATGGGCTCCTTGAAACAAAGTGCTTTCTAATCTGTTATACCATTTCATTCCCATAAGATCCTTGTGGAGTAGAGACCCCTGTGCTTAATCTAGTCACATTTTACAGATCAAGAATAAGGCACCCAGGGACTGCATAATGGAGGGATTAGGCTGACCACCCTTGGACTCACCAGACAGTCTTAAGATCACAGAAAGTAGGACCATCAAACATGATGTACCTGCTTACATGATGCAATAGGAAGTGACAGCTATGGCAATCTTATCACAAAACAAAAACCACATCAAACTTTTAAGTTCACGGGGCTTACGGGAGACAGAGACTCCCTGATACCAAAATACTCGAGAAAGCAACTAGCCAGATCTAGAGAGTGGAGAAGTCTAAAGAACAAACAGCCTAATTTCTTTCCACAAAAAGCAAGAACAAAGAGGGGTACTATTATAGATTAAAAGATAAATAGAGAGACCTATCATTCAAATATAAACACATAGGCCTTGTTAAGATCTTGATTTGAACAAGTCAATTAAAATTTTTTGAGAAAATTAGGGAAATTTAATTATATACTTTATTAGTGGTATTAAGAAATTACAAAATTTTAGGTGTATTAAAAAGAAGTTCTTTTATATTTAGTGGGTGAAATAATATATTGTCGCCGGGCACGGTGGCTCATGCCTGTAATCTCAGCACTTTGGGAGGCCGAGGCGGGCGGATCACAAGGTCAGGAGATCGAGACCACGGTGAAACCCCGTCTCTACTAAAAATACAAAAAATTAGCCGGGCATGGTGGTGGGCGCCTGTAGTCCCAGCTACTCAGGAGGCTGAGGCAGGAGAATGGTGTGAAACCGAGAAGCGGAGCTTGCAGTGAGCCGAGATCGCGCCACTGCACTCCAGCCTGGGCGACAGAGCGAGACTCCGTCTCAAAAAAAAAAAAAAAAAATAATAATAATAATAATAATATATTGTCTAGTATTTGTTTTAACATATTCTAGCAAAAAAGTGTGGGGAATTAGAGGAGATGACATTGGAAAAATATTAACTATTGAAGAGTTGAGAGATTCATTTTTCTGTTTTTCTCTTTACTTTCGCATATTTCTAAAAATTATATAATTAAAAGTTTTCTAAACTGAATTGAAAAAATAAAGAATTGGAGATCTAAAGAAGTTAGGTGACTTCCCCAAGGCTACCCAATTGTGGTCTCCAGGTTCTAATTCCTGTGCCATTTCGTCTACTCCACACTAAGCCAGCGTGCAGTCATAGTGGTACTGTTTTGAGACACAAATCGTTTATACTGGTGCAAGGCTCCATCTTTATCTCCCAACACATCACGTCAGGAACGTAGAGCTTGTATATGCTATACATATACATATACATGTTTGTGGGTGGAAACAGCGCATGAGGAATGGGGTGTTGGTGGGCTATGTAACAAGCCTGATTTGGGCAACTCAGGAATTCAATGGCAATTTCTTCTGTTATACAATGCTGTTTTCAGTAAAATTTTGGAAAATACATAAACTAATCCAGTTTGCTGTGTTTGGGTCTTCACATCCTAGTAGAACTTAGATAATAAACCTATTCACGTTAGAAAAGGATGAAAGAGAGAATGTAGAGAACTTTGTATGAATCAGACTAATTACTGGGCTCCCATATTTGTGATAGCCAAGGCATTATTCTGGGATTCAGCAGTGTGGACCTTAGATTCTTAAACTTCCAGAAAAAGGAACTAGCCCCCAGGGTTTTAGACTTGAACATGACGTCTGGGCTGATCTGAAGAGGATTCCACTTGTACTCACAAATGACTGGATGGAGTCCCACGCTGCCTTGGTGCTGTTGTCTGAGTGGTAACGGTGGATGCTGTCGGTCAGACCCTTAGCCACATACTCATTCAGCTGGGCAGGCACATTCCAGCAGAGGAGACATGGTAAAAAGCAGGTGAGTTCAAGGAATAAGGAATTTCCAGTATAGGTTAGTGGTTCCACTTGCTCTTCCCTTCCAAATGGTCTCCTCAGAACTAAGGGTGAGGGGAGGGTGTTTATCTATGGGCATGCTGAGCATGAGATGACATTGAAGGAAGAAGTATTTAGTAGGCTTGCTTCCTTCTAGAGCTCTGGCTTTACAAGGGAGGAAAAGGGGTAATTAAAGCAAGGACTATCCTTAGGCACTGAGGCAGACATTCTCTCCTGCTAAATACACAGAGGAAAGCAAGTAGAGGAAGAGACATTTGTTTTACTGTTCTTTCCAGGCACCCCTCAAGATACCACTCAGATACAATCTCTTTCATACAAATTTTTTCTCCCCCCAATTACAATTACTCTCTCTTTCCTCTATCCTTCCATTTCATTTCTATCTCTATTATAGGACTTATTTTGTAATTTTGTAACAACTTCTCCACTGCATACTCCCCACTTTCAGTATTAAGATAATGAGTTGTGCTCTTTATAACTTACCTTCTGTTCATACACAAAGAGCAGGATGGCCAAGGTCACCTCGGCAAGGAGGATAATCAGCAGCAGGATGAAGAACTGGGACAAAGCAGATACATTCTCACAGCACTGATCCCCATTCTCGTCCCACTCCCACTCAGCTCTGGGAGCATCCAGGGGTATTTGCACATGTGCAGGATGTTCCTGTTCTGCCTCCTCAGGCCTTTGTAAGCCTTCTTTTGTTTTGTGAAAATATGTGTTTTTTTTCTACAATTAGACTCTAGAGGGCAGATCAACTGTCTTCTTTGTTCTCTCCTACCTGCTGTGCCTATCAGAGCACTATATGCGTAATACATACACAACACCATCTGTTGAATAAGTTAAGCAATTTTGACATCTACCTATTGAAGCAGTTAAGCAAAAGGTCAATAAACTAGATCATTTGGGGCCTGGTCCTTTCTACAAGATCAGGATACCTCTGCGTGGAGGACTGCTGGTAGTGGCTGAGAGGAGGCCTATACAATGGTGAAAAGAAGGGTCCTAGCCATGGTTCTAACTCATATTTGTTTCCAGCTTCCGATGCTTACTCCCTTTATGCTAATAACACACAACATAAAACATTTTCACTTATTCCTTCTCCTTTACCTTTTTTACCCCAACATTAATTTTGACTGCTTAAAACATTTACCTTACCCCATGTCTGCTATCTTCCATCCTTTGCCATTAGTCTGAGAACTAACTCAGAAGAGGGACTTTTTTTTTATTCCTTCTCTTGGCTGCAGTTTAAGAGTTGACCCATACCGACTGGGCGCAGTGGCTCACGCCTATAATCCCAGCACTTTGGGAGGCCAAGGCAGGTGGATCACCTGAGGTCAGGAGTTAGAGACCAGCCTGACCAACATGGAGAAACCCTGTCTCTACTAAAAATACAAAATTAGCCGGGCATGGTGGCGCATGCCTGTAATCCCAGCTACTCGGGAGGCTGAGGCAGGAGAATGGCTTGAACCCGGGAGGTAGAGGCTGTGGTGAGCCAACATCGTGCCATCGCACTCCAGCCTGGGCAACAAGAGCGAAACTCCATCTCCAAAAAAAAAAAAAAAGAAAGAAAGAAAAGAGAAAAAAAACACCACGAAAAAGTTGAACCATAATGGAAAAAAAGATTAACCAGATGACTTAAGGAAGAACCAAGCTGATTAGAAACCCACGTCTATTGGTAGAGTGGCACTGTTACACCAAGCTCTGTTCTGGGAACACTAGAGAAATGCAGAGCTCAGTGCTCTACAGTCACTGTGCTTACAGGCAAAACCTAAGCCTTAACGTACTCCTCGGGATAGTACCTGACAGGCAATATGCAAAAGGCGCTAGCATCTCTCACATTACACCTTAATGGCTGCAGCCAGAGCCCTCAACTAAGTTGGATCTCTGCGGAGTACCTTGTGCATATATGAGTTAAGGAAGCATCCTCTGGCATTTGGGGAGGAAAGAATCTAGAAATTATTTTTCCATTAGTTAGTGACTCTGAGTCAGATCCTGAAAGTACATAATAATAGCTAGCATGAGGAGGATTTTGGAAGATAGATGACACCTGGTTTCATCCAGACATAAAGAAAAAATAAAATGCTATGAAGGGGAATTATAATAATGACAAAGCTCATTATCAGCGGTGTAAAATGGCTACCAAGGGGGATAGCAATGCCCTTTCTCACCTGTCCATGGGACCTTAGTCATACATAATATACTATTGGTCTGGGAAGACTTGGCTGATCTGAGGTACCAATCTCATTTTCCTAAGATCTTTCTGTGCCTATAAGTGACCTACCAAAAAACATCTTGCCTGGGACTTAGGCACCATCTCCCTGACTTGGGGCACCACATCTCTGTAAGGACTCACCGACATAAGCAGGCACTTGTTTTCCTTGATAGAGCCCATGCAGCCCAGGAAGGCAACTACCATGATAATGGAGCCCACGATGACAAACACATTGCCCAGCGTGAGGGAGGGGAGGTTATGGAAGAGCACTCCGAAGTTGTTGTGGATCAGCAGGTAGATCCCAAAGCCCAAAATGCAGCAGCCGCAGATCTGAAAGGAAGAATCCCACAACATCCTGAAGCAAAATGTGGTTCTTGGGTATCTCCTCATATTCTCACTTCCTTGAGATCAGAATCACTTTATTTTTAACTGGCTCAATCAGAGTCTCATGAACAATTTTTTTACCAAACTTTTCCATGCTTACATTGGAGAGGCAATCTCAGCTTTCTCATGTGAAGACCTACTCACAACTCTTCCTACCCATTTCGAAATACCAAGGAAAGAGCACTCCTGTGAGCCGCACAATATCTTCACTATATATAGGTCTAACTTCCTGTTCCTTATCTTTTCAGTCGCTCACACATGGCTTTCCCTGTGGAAACCATGACCATGCAGAGAAGATGTCCTGCTTGAGGAAGCTCATCTTGCTAGGCAGAAAACTAGAGAAGCCAAACTTATAATAATCTTCTCATATACACAAGTACCAACCCATCCTGTATCTGAAATTCAATTGCTGAATTTTGTACAGTGAAACCTCCCCGGAAAGGGTGACTTTCCTTTCATTCACTTATTGTTTCAAGGAATCTAAAAAAAAAAAGACAAGAAAAACAGAGGCACTCAATACCCAGAGCACACAGTCTCAGGTTTCTCACCTATACATATGAGCTATAAGTAGTAGTAAACTAAAGCCCTCAGAGAGAAACAGCACCTCCATTAATAACTGCACTAGTACCTTTCAATTTTGCAGGTTTATTCTGTGGCAGAAAGAGGGGAAAAATTATTATTCCTTTGTTTCTAGGATGGTTGTGCTGGACATGACCCAAACATGCATGCATTTTACCCCACACCAGCCTCTTCAGTAGAGGAGAGAGGAGAGCTTAGCTGGGGAAAGGTGAGCTTAACCATGCTCAGAAGAGATACACTTACCCAAAAGAGCAAGTTGAAGAAAAACAGGACATACTTCAGCAATTTCAAGCTACTCATGCCCATGCTGTGATATTCTTGCCCTAAGGAATAAGGAAGAAGAAATTAAGTTACCTGGCTCTGTAAGGTAGCCAGAGATCAGAGTGTGCAAATGTTCAGGGATCTCTAGCATTACCTTGGGGTTAAGCTGTGGCTCTCCTCTGGAAAGTTTCCCCAAACTCTCCACTTTCCTAGTTTCTGAACTGAAATACCAACTGGCTCATCTAAGACATTCAGTTTCTGTCCAATTCAGTAAGTCAACAATGCTTAACACTGAATTAAGCACTGTAGAAGAAAATAGAGCCATTCTTAGAAGAGGATGGGTCACAGTGACAAAGACCAGGCCAGTGCTTCAGCTCTATCTGCAGCATTAGCAACTAGTGTCTGGGCACTTACTTAAGACCTTGAAGTCAGGGATGAACTGGTCAATCAGCCATCAAGAAAGCCAACAGCTTAATGGGCCAGTTTCTTAAATACTCTATGATTCATGTACATACTACATTTGATAGTAAACTTCTCCACATGAAAGTGGGGAGAACATAGCCACGCCTCATTTATTCTTTTACTGCAGAAACATTTATAATGTTTTCTGTTCTAGATGTTGTGGAAAACACAACTGTGACTAAGCAGTAGCTATCCTCCAGAAGATAACAGTCTTACAGCAGAGATAAAACAAGCCAACAAATATGCAATGGGGAAGTAAAAAAAGATAGCAATGTAAGTTTTATTTTTTTTTTCAACTAGAATATCATTTTCTTAGTGAGGACATCAGTTTCCAATGTCTGGTCCTCAATTCTAGAAATCCAGATACAGAATTTTGACCTCTCCTCCCCTCCCCTCCCCTCCCCTCCCCTCCCCTTCCCTCCCCTCCTTTCTCTCTCTCTCTCTCTTTCTTTCTTTTTTTTTTCAGAGTCTCAATCTGTCACCCAAGCTGGAGTGCAGTGGCACAATCTCGGTTCACTGCAACCTTCGCCTCCCAGGCTCAAGTGATCCTCCCATCTCAGCCTCCCAGGTAGCTGAGACTAAAGGCATGAACCACCATGCCCGGATAATTTTTGTATTTTTAGTAGAAAGGAAGTTTCACCATGTTGCCTAGTCTGACCTCAAACTCCTGACCTCAAGTGATCCACCCACCTCGGCCTCCCAAGGTGCTGGGATGATTTCAGGCATGAGCCACCGTGCCTGGCCAGAATTTTGAATTTTCTGTCAGAGGTAATGATATTCTATAAAGTGACTCATTTTTAAAACTGTGCACCGGACTGATATTTAAAGCAGAATGTTGAGGCAGTGTTCCATTAACATTATGCCTTTTCCAGTGCATGGATCAGTTGTGCAATCCATAGTATCTTCTTTGCAGTTTCAAGGTACCTGGGAATCACATGGTCTTGAGGGAATAGTTCATCCAGGCTGTAGATAATCCTGGTGAGCTACTTCTCTTCCACAATAAAGTGAATTTCTCTGTTGTAAACACCAAAAATTTACATCTATTTCATACCCTTTTCCTTTACTTTGTGCTTTTTTCCCCCTTTTTCTTCTTGTCTTACTCCTCAGGATTATCCTTAAATCTACATCATTACTTTAATAAAATTAAAATAAAATTAATTGGATTATAAATGTATTTGAATATATATCAAGAGTCAAGTGTGATGATTTACTACCCAGGCTTTGAGGTCAAACTCGAATTTTCCTCTTACATATGCCATTAAACAGCTTTGTGAGAATTGGACACCAAACTTAACAGTTCTAGTCACAAGTTCTTCCTACCTATGTAAAACGGGCCAATACTTATCCCTCTTAGGGTGGATGTGAAGATTAAATGATCTTATCACACAGACTGGGATACAGTGAGACCGGTACTCAGTAAATTGAACCCATGATTATTTAGTCTTTTTTTTTTTTTTTTTTTTGACAGAGTTTTGCTCTTTCACCGAGGCTGGAGTGCAGTGGCATGATCTAGGCTCACTGCAACCTCCGCCTTCCGGATTCAAGCGATTCTCCTGCCTCAGCCTCCAGAGTAGCTGAGATTACAGGTGCCCGCCACCACGTCCAGCTAATTTTTGTATTTTTTTTTTTTAGTAAGGACGGGGTTTCACTATGTTGGCCAGGCTGGTCTCGAACTCCTGACCTTATGATCTACCTGTCTCAGCCTCCCAAAGGGTTGGGATTATAGGCGTGAGCCACCACGACCTGCCAATTATTAAGTCTTAAAGAACTACGCTGTTTATCAGGAGTGAATGATGAATTTGGGTGTTTCCCAGCCCTTTATCAGTATCAAAGTACTCAAGAAACAGTGATAAAAAGAAAATCTTAAAACAACCAGGGGAAAAAAGACCTGTTAAGGAATAAGGAACAATTGTAAGGATAATAGCAGACTTCTTACTGGAAAATAGGCAAGCTGGAAGAAAGTGGAGCAACACATTTAAAATACTAAAGAAAAAAAATTGTCATCCTAAAAATCTATACCCAACAAAAATACATTTTACTAACTTAAAAAAAGGACTTTAAGGTATACAAAAGGTGAAAGAATTCCACACCAGTAGATCCATACTACAAGAAATGTTAAAGGCAATCCTCTAAGTAGAAGAAAAATGAGACCAGATGGAATTACAGATTTACACAAAGGAACAAAGAGCACCAGAAAAGATGGCTACAGGAATAAATGCACAATACTTTTTTCTTTTTATTTAAATCTCTTTAATTTATTTTTATTTTTATTTATTTATTTTTTTTGAGACAAGGTGTTGCTCTGTGACCCAGGCTGGAGTGCAGTGGCATGATCTTGGCTCACTGCAACCTCCGCCTCACAGGTTCAAGAAATTTCCATGCCTCAGCCTCCTGAGTAGCTGGGATTACAGATATGCACCACCAAGCCCAGCTAATTTTTTGCATTTTTAGTAAGAGGGGGTTTCACCATGTTGGCCAGGCTGGTCTCGAATTCCTGACCTCAGCTGATCCGCCTGTCTCAGCCTCCCAAAGTGCTGGGATTACAGGCTTGAACGACTGCACCTGGTCTTAAATCTTTTTAAAAGATACTGAACAGTTCAAACAAAAATAATAACAATATTGCATTGCATTAATAATAAATGTAAAAGTAAACTTTATGATAATAATAGTGTAGAGGCTGGGAAGGGAGAAATGGAAGTATACCATTGGGAGCTTCTTATATGTGAAGTGGTAACCTCACTTGAAGGTAAAAATCTTTAAAAATACTAGATTAATCAAAAGAAGCCAGAAAAAGAGAAAAGGGGGAACAACAGATGGGAAAAATAAAGAACAAATAGAAAAATGGACAAATAAAAAACAAATATGCTAAAATCCCAACCATATCAACATCACAGTAAATGAAATGGTCTGAATACTTAAAATATGAAGCAGGAATAAATAGATGAATTATAAAAACAAGACCCAATTATGTTGCCTACAAAAAATGCATTTAAAATATAAAGAAGCAAATACATTTTAAAGTAAAACGACAGAAAAAGATATACCATACTAACACTAATAAAAGGAAAAAAAGGCTGGAGTGTCTATATTAGACTAAAACAAACACTATTACAGAAAAAATCATCAAGGATAAAGAAGATTATAATTATAAAGGGACTGATTGAGCTAAAGAACATAAAAATCTTAAGCGTTTTTGCACCTCGTCAAAATTTGAGACAGAAATGAACAGAACTGAAAGAAGAAATAGACAAGTATACAGTTATACTTGAATAGTTCAATATCCTTCTCTTAATAATTGATAGAATCAGTAGACAGAAAAGCAGTAAATATTTGAACAACAGCACCAATCAACTTAAACTAACTGATTGTGATAGAACACTCCACCCCACAACAGCAGAATATACATTCTTTTCAAGGTTACATGAAACATTTACCAAGATAGACCATTCTGGACATAAACCAAGTTTCAATAAATTTAGAAGGAATTGAATTAGAAATCAATAACAGAAATATCCCTGGAAAATCTCCTCAAATTGGGAAACTAAATAGCGTACCTCTAAACAGTTCATAGATCAAAGAAGAAATCAAAGAGAAAATTAGAATTCTGAATTGAGAAAAACTTTAAAAACATGTTGAAAATGTGTGAATGTCACTGAAGCAATATTTCGGGGTGAATTTTAGTGCTAAATGTCTATAGCTGAAAGGAGAGTAGTCTCAAATTAATGATTTCCGATTGCATCTTGAGAAACTAGAAAAAGTATAACAAATTAAACCCAAAATAAGCAGAAGGAAGTAGGTAATAAAGATAAACACTGAAATCAATTAGACAGAAAAACAAAACAAAACAAAAAAAACCTCACGAAAGCTGGCTCTTTTAGAAGACTGATAAAATTGATAAACTTATACACAGGTAATCAATTTTAAAATAGAGAACAAAAATTATCAATACTAGGAATGACAGAACAACACTACAAATTCTATAGATATCAAAAGGATAAGTCAATATAATAAATGACTTGATGCCAATACGACTTAGATGAAATAGATGAATTCATCGAAAGGCACAAATTACCAAATCTCTCTCAAGAAATAGATAACCTGAATAATCCTATCTCTAATAAGAAACTGATTTTGGAGTTTAAAAATCTTCTCATAAAGAAAACTGCTAGTCCAGATGTCTTATTGATGATTTCTACTAAACATGTAAGGCAGAAATAATACTGATTCTATATGAAATCTTCCAGAAAATAGAAAAGGAAGGTACACTGTCTAGCTTATCCTGTGAGGGCAGAATTTTCAATTACTAAAAGCAGAAAGATATTACAAGAAATAAAACCACAGACCGACATTCCTCAGAACAAGATGTGAAAATCATAAACAAGATTTTAGTAAAAAACATCTAACAATATAGAAAAATGATAAGAAATTATGAACAAATGGGGCTACTCTCAGGAATGCAAGGTTATTTTAACATTGAGAAAGGTACTTAATTAATCATATTAACAAACTGAAAGAGAAAACAAATTATCTTCTGAATAGATACAGGAAATTTATTTGACAAAATTCAACATCTATTTCTGAAAAAAACTTAGCAAACTAG